ATCATGCTCTTGTCTGGTTTTTCTGAATCAGCATTCACAGAATTTTTAGCCTCCATAGGTTGAGCATCCTCCTGTGGTTCTTCATGAATAAATCTGTGTCTATCCTCTGAAGGCTGACGTTGGGTCTGTTGAGGCATAAATACCCTCTCACTAGGTCTTTCCAAAAACGCTGCCTCTCCAGTTCTGTTATCATCTTCTGGAGCCCGAGACGTAAATCTTCTTTTTGTCGGAGGACTCTGATATGTATGTCTCTTGGACTGTCCTGGAAAATCTTCTTCTGAAGTAATTCTTTCCTGACGCCTGAGTGGCCACTTTGGGGGTGTTACCTCTCTATCTCGTTTCACAGGCAATTCTTTATTAGCCGCCATGCGCCCCCCTACCAGTCTCTGCTGTGGGTTAAATGTAGAAGCTACTTCTTGAGACTGTAATCTTTGAGGGGTTACACTTGACTGTAACTCTGTCCTAATCCCTGGATTCAATCCTAATGTAACTACAGGACTTGAAGGTCGGACATTACTCTGTAATACTGGCTCAGAGCGAGAAGTTGAACTTTGTAATGCCATCTGTAATGTCTGGCATAAGTTGTTCACCTGGTCTTTCATCTGTGTTACATCTCCTCCAAGGTTAGACATATGTCCTTCCATATTAGCCACCTTAGTTATCATTGTTGAGGTGCGAGGCATATATCTATCTCCTCTGGGTCTGGCTCCCCATGTTTGACTCTGTGGACTATAAACACCATCATGTACTGCGCCTGACCAATAGCCAGTAGTCTGTCCGCTCCAGGCTTTCTTAAACTCGGTTTCTATCCCAGTCTTATCACTAGGGTAGATTGCTTCTGCACCCCCAACTGTAGGGTGTATCTCATCTGGATCTGCCTCACTTGGCAACCTCCATTTCTCCATCGCTGGGAGTTCTGTAGCCATGTGTTCCGTAGCCTTTCTTTCTGTATATTGAAGAGTGTCATCCTTGGCTATGGGATTATCTATCTCACCGCCTGTAGTTAACTTTAAAAAGACAGTCTTCTCTACATCTTTAGACTTGTCTGTATTTGTATCAGAGAGATCACCACTCTCTATCGACTTTGGATCCTCTGTATCCATCTTTAAAGTGCTATAATGTGCCTCTGGTTCAAATCTTCAGACACAATCAATCCCACCGCTGCCACCAATGTAACAGTTTGGCCTATTTTTGTGGATATACGTGGTAGCGTGGCTAATAATAGGCCCACTGTTTAGTAAACGGTGTTTACTTGGTGAGTTACACGGCACACGTTAAATGTGCGATTGTCCCTAAAGAATTAAACAGACATACAATTAAATATAAAATATAAAACAGTATATTGTGGCGTTTATAAGCCCAAATAAAGATCTACATTAAATTTCAAGTCTAACTATAAGAGTGTTACGATTATAATATCTCTCTCAAAACTCACAACTCAAAAGTCCATATAAGCTAATATTTATCACTAATAAAACAATATCCAGAGTCCATATAAACTAAAGTTGATGATCACTATGTACCACTGTTGTATCTCCAATATTAAAAGTTCATATATGTTGTAATACTTGTACGTCTTGTATTGTACTTGTAACTTGAACCTGAAATAGTAATCTCCTGGATCCTCTTCTATGTAGTGTAGTATGATTCCAGTTTGATGATGTGAAATCATCTAAGTCAACTATCAGCTCGGTAAATGGCTATCTCCTGGATCCTCTTCTCTGGATTATAGTGTAATTCAACTTTGAGGATGTAAAATCATCTAAGTCAAACTATTGCTCCGTAAACGTAAATCTCCTGGATCCTCTTCACTGTATTGTAGTATAATTCAGCTTTGATAATGTAAAATCATCAAGTCAACTATCGGCTCGGTAAATGGCTATCTCCTGGATCCTCCTCAATGTGTTGTAGTATAATTCAACTTTGATTATGTAAAATAATCTAAGTCAAACTATCAAGTCTGGAAACGACTATCTCCTGGATCCTCCTCTCTGTGTTGTAGTATAATTCAACTTTGATTATGTGAAATAATCTAAGTCAAACTATTTCTCTGTAAACGGCTATCTCCTAGATCCTCCTCTCTGTGTTGTAGTATAATTCAACTTTGATTATGTGAAATAATCTAAGTCAAACTATTTCTCTGTAAACGGATATCTCCTGGATCCTCCTCTCTGTGTTGTAGTATAATTCAACTTTGATTATGTGAAATAATCTAAGCAAACTATCAGGTCTGTAATCGACTATCTCCTGGATCCTTCTCAATGTGTTGTAGTATAATTTCTATCAGTCGAGTAACCAGCAATCTACTGGATCCTCTTGTGCTGTAGTATAATTCAACTTTGATTATGTGAAATAATCTAAGTCAAACTATCAGGTCTGTAATCGACTATCTCCTGGATCCTTCTCTCTGTGTTGTAGTATAATTCAACTTTGATTATGTGAAATAATCTAAGTCAAACTATCAGCTCTGTGAACAGCTATCACCTGGATCCTCCTCAATGTAGATGTATATTCTAACTTCAATGACACAAGATCATCAAAGTCAAAATATCTCGCTGGATAATCTGCTAAGTCCTATAACGTCTTTCTCTATAGATGTATCTTCCTAACTTTAATGATGCGAAATCACCAAAGTCAAAATATCTCGCTTGATAATCTGCTAAGTCCTGGAACGTCCTCTCTGTAGATGTATATTCTAACTTCAATGACCAAAAATCATCAAAGTCAAAATATCTCGTTGAATAAACTGCCAAGTCCTGGAACGTCCTCTCTGTAGATGTATATTCTAACTTCAATGACCAAAAATCATCAAAGTCAAAATATCTCGTTGAATAAACTGCTAAGTCCTGGAACCTCTTCTCTGTAGATGTATATTCTAACTTCAATGACCCAAAATCATCAAAGTCAAAATATCTCGTTGAATAAACTGCTAAGTCCCAGAACCTCTTCTCTGTAGATGTATAAGTCAAACTATCACAATCTTCAATCTACCAAGTCCAAGGACGTCTAATACACGGCATCAACTGCTAAGTCCATGTAGCCTGCTTTCTTCACAATTAAATAATAAGGCTACCAAATACTGACTAAGTCCAATAATGTTGTAAATCGTCTAAGTTCCTTGATGATCAAAATAGCTTGTTTCTCAAACACAAGTTATGTCAGCATTTCCTCTCAGTCTATGAAGGCTGGACAATACGTCTAATGCTTTGCGCTGGGGATAGCTTCACCCTGTTGAAGTTTTGTCCAGTCTTGTAGATCTCCCTTACTTCCAGTGCGATAAATAAACTAAGTTTCTCTCACTTAGCTACATCAAAGTTTTCCCAAAATTCCAATCTCCAAAATAAACTAAGTTTCTCACACTTAGTTTCTTCAATCTGCCCTTGTATACTGCAAACGTATAGCTTGGCTCATCAGATGTATTCTACTAAGGTACAGCTTCTATCTTCATGTGTATACTGCAAACGTATAGCTTCAACTCCACAAAATCAACTAAGTTCTATAAAACTTAGAAGATTTTAGCTGTTTCCCGAAATTCCGCTCTTGAGGTCCTTCCTCGACAACATCTGGCATCGCACTGACGATCCTTCAACAGCGAGATAGTTATATAGGCCCGATGACGTCATTAATTTTCGTACAAGATTTCAACTGTGAATTACAGCTTATTTACGCCATATTTCGCTTCAATATTGATCATACAGCAAGATTATAATATTGACTCAAGAAATATAACAGTAATTAACCACTATCTAGTCTAATTTTCCTTCGATTCAATCGAATCAAGAACAGGAAGTAAAATAATAAAGTTGTCAGGTAAGACTACCGATCAACTACAAATTAGACTGCCAGATAAGACTGCCTGATCAACATAAACAAAATCGTGATCAAATAAATAAAACATGCGAACTATTTCACCTCTGTGAGTACAACCTAAGTGCTGCAAATGATACTACATTTGTAAATCTTAATAACCTCAATGGGAAATTACTTTCCAAGTGCAATAATTACCTAACGTACAAAAATACAGCACTTTATTAAAAATCAAAAATTTTGCATTTTTAAAATTCCGTTACAGTATATAAGAATAGAGTTGATATGTGTAAAAACCTTAAACTTCCCATTTTATTGGGGATGGAACTTGTGGACCATGTGTATTTCTAACTTCTTCACATGTGCATGGATCCAATATTGTGGCAGCCATCTTGGATTTGTCATATTATGTGGACATGGTTTTGGTTGTGCTGAATTTGTTTCAAAATAACATTTCTTGTATAACTTCGATAAGTGAGATAAGCATTTGAAATTAAATACAGATAGTATACTTGACATTTAATGCAGTAAAAAGTAATACAATTCATTCTTACATAATAAGTGAGTCCAGACAAAAAGTTATTATTGTGCTAGTTAAACTGGACATAAATTACACTCATTGGCCTTGGTTTTCTTAATTGGCTTGGATCAAATGTTGTTCTGTTTATTCAGAAAAGGAGTATAGTTCAATATACAAGTTCACATTCGTTCCATCCTCTTGTAGAAATGAATCTCATTTTATTTCATCTCAAATATAGAACACAAAAATATATTTCTATTAATTGCAAAAGTTAGCTTCTATGTCATGACTGAGTTTGTGTTCCGCTTCTAGGGAAAAATATCCATCTGGAAATATCGTATTGACCATTGCTATACACTCCATATTTAATCCTCCCAGTAAATAACATTGATTTATTCCATAATAACATGTTTTCCCTGGGAAAATAACAGGGAATAAAAGTGTTATTTGAAAAATCCCGTATCAGATCCCGTATTGGATCCCGTATCAGCAAAAATCCCGTATCAGATCCCGTATCAGAAATATTCCCGATAATTTCTCTTGAGTTTTACGCTTTTCGTCTAGCACATCTCTACAGGAAGTAAAAAAATCGTTTGGAAAATTGAAATTATTGAAATTATTATCATCTAGTTTACGTCTATTACTGTGACAAAGGTCTATTACTGTGACAAATATGTCTAGGTATGCAACAGAGGATGTTGATGACTTCATTAAAGGTCAAGAAAATATCAATACTTCGAAGAAAACTAAAAGTGACATAAAAATCCTTGTAGATTTTTTACGGAGTGAGAGGAATGAACTCAGACCGATCGAGGAGATAGATCCCCATGATCTTAATGACCACCTCAAACATTTTTTCATTAACATAAGAAAGGAGGATGGTGAGATATCAAGTGGGAAGCGTTCAGAATCTCCAGAGTCTACAAAGAGGGCATCATCAGCTTGTTCTGGGCCAGCACCCAGCACTTCCTTTGGAAATGCTAGGGGTGTATTCAATTTTCATTTTGGGTCAGCAAGTGGAGCACATGCAATTGAAGATTCCCCTGTAAAGAGCAGAAAGTACAGGAGAATTATATATAGTAGTAGTGACAGTTCTCAAGAGTAATGACTGATATGTACAGTATGGAATAAGATGTAGACATTCTTGAAAAGTACATACATGTAGGCCCATTCTACATCCACATGTTTCATTAAGACGTTTCGTGATATTGTGTTTATTTTGCCATGTTATGAGCCATTTTATTGTTATAAATTATTTATATTTTTAAGTAAAACTTGATAATAAAAGTTGAAAATGTTATATGATAAATTGTATAATTTTATGTCACAATCATTGGATGATGACATACAAAAATTGAAAAAAAATATTATGAAATAAATAGGTTATTGATGGTCGTGATGGAATATGGATTTATTCCTTGAGAAAATATGATATTGACCTCAGAAAATATCATATTGACACTCGGGCTATCGCCCTCGGTCAATATGATATTTTCCTTGGCCAATATCATATTTTCCCTCGGAATAAAATCCATATTCCATCCCTCCCATTAAATAACCTCTATATACAGTATACAAGTATATATGACATCGAGGATCTGGGTTATGTGAGACATGAGGCCACTTGTCTTTTTGAATCTCATATTCAATATTATTTCTTTAAACCCTCATATTTAATATTTTTGGAGTGGTAATTCAATTATGTACCTATTTTTTATTCTTTATCCCATAGTTGAACTCTATTCCGCTCTGTTAGGTAACATGAAAACATATTTATGATATTTTGCAAATGCGTGGAAAAAGTGATATCTGTGGAATACGGAAAATATTTCATAGATATCACCTTTTGGCAGGGATTTGAAAACTACCACCAATATGATGTGTTTTGTTACATAGTGATTTCATGACATCACTGGGATGAATGAATGAATGGATGTTGTTTTGATATGCTTTGTTTAATTTTAGAGGTGAACTATGGGAAAAATAAAACATCCTATGAATTTTCGTGATATTGTGTTAATCTAACTCATTGATATCAATATCTGCGCTAATTCGCTATGCTAACTTGGCAAGATATTGATATCAACTCGGAGATAAAGATAAAATCATTTAAAATCATATGATATCCTATACATATCCTTTACTGTGCCACAACTTTCTCATATGTTATATATTTTGGCACAGGCTATCATTTATTTTCCGTGAATTCATGCTTTTGTTCCTCTTTTAGAAATGAGAGGAAATCTTTGATTTTCCTTGTATTTAAGTTGCTTAAATGTTGCCCTGTGATGTTGATAAAAGTCAATAGTAATCCATTACAGTCACAGTTGAAATGTACCCATTGCTAGCCCAGAACCTACCAAAATAGCATTTGCATTTTGTCAATATTGCCCGATGTGCTTTTCCATGAAAATAATTTTAATCGTATCTTTTCTTCAGTATTTCATATATTACATTTTAATATATTTGAATTGGTTGATATTTATGTACTATACTTTGACAACAATAAATAAAGATTTTTTTGTAAAAACACCAAAAATGGTATATGATCCTTAAATGACTGTTGTGTGAACATCAAAGGTCAAAATTTCGCTGAAATTGTATTTTTATAAAGCACAAATGATTTTTCATCAATATGATATGCATTATTATCAGATATCTTTGGGGGCTAAAAAGGGCCATTAATGACACCCGTCCTTTTACTGTACGATAGACAGATAGAAGATGACCTTAAAAGCAACTTAAATTCAAATGTTTGACACCGAAAAGCATTTCAGTGTCTCAATTTTAGTTGTACTACTAAATTTTGTTGGGGTTATTTATTTTTGTAAAAAGCACATTGATTGTTCCGTTTAGGCCAAAAATTTCCATTCTGTATTATTTGCTGCCACTGTAATGTTTAAATCATGCCAATTGTTTTGCTTATTAAGGTAGTCCTACTGCGCCAGTATCGAGCATTGGTGAGGGAGTCGATTTGAAATCTGGACTAGGAACACATGGAACTTGGTTTATCGACCCCATGGATTCAACAGCGTGGGTTATGAGTGGTTACAATAATGTCAAAACCCTTGAGAGGTACAACAACAAGATGTCACTTTCAGGGAGTCCTGTAGAGACTATAACTCTGGGTATGTATTACTTATTAATAACTTTTACACTGAGATCAATATGATTAAGGTGTGTACCTTTGTACTTTTTATACAGTCTTCATTGCAGTCACATGTCATTTTCAAAGTTACATTACTCATTCCATATACGGTCTTTGCATAACGTGTGCATTAATGTACCAAGGAAAGAGTGAAGAGAATATTTTTATAAAATGTATAACAATGAGAAAATTGAGTGATCTCATTATTTTTCACTTTAAAAGTTGATCACTGATCTTTCAGGTACATAAGTGCATTATTTGTGCAAAATTGTAAGCTGTAGACTAATGTACATGAAAAAAATTATGTGTCCCTGAAATTGACACGTACGTGACTCCATTGCAGATTGCTTAAAATTTTTAACTTACACAGTACATACTAACCTAAAATTAACATATACATATGTGTTACAGTGAATTAATTAAATAAAGCCAAGACGGATGTCTCTTAATTTCAGCACAAGGGTGTTCTGGAACTGGACATGTCGTAAACGCAGGCTATCTATATTGCAACTTACATAGATCAAATAAAGTGATGAAAGTACAAATTAGTACCAAAGAAAAAGTTGGTGAGGTGATTTTGACAGACGCTGGTTTCAATAATGCGTATCCTTACAAGTGGGGAGGATATTCGGACATTGATCTTGCTTTGGATTCTGGAAATCGACTGTATGCCATTTATGGTTCAAAACGAAATAATGGAAATTATGCAATTGCACTTTTGGACATCGATACATTGGTCATTGTTGCAACATGGCAGATTGATGTCGAGAAAAGGCAAACTCGAGATTCATTCATGGCAAATGGAATGCTATATATTCTTGACTCTAATTACCATTTCACCTACCGCTTTGACACGACAACGAATAGCCTTACATCACTGTCATCAAGTGAATTCCAATATGGCTCTAGAAAAGGTTACCTTACATCTTTACAATACATACCTGGAAGATGTGAGCTACTTGCTTATGACAAAGGATACCTCCAGACAAGGTCAATTCATTTCTAATTCCACTTCTTTTGCTTATCATTTGAGGAAAGCTTATTCTCAATATGTTGCTTAAATTAATTCAATAAAAAGTGTCATACATATTTCAATTCAATTTACTTCAAGTTTTTAAGAGATTCCAGAATCGATAATACAAAATTTAAAGCAGATTTCCCCCCTATTTTGCAATTTTAAATGGACATGTCCATTAGTTCGAATTAGAAGACTTGAGTAAGTTCCTATTTGACTGAAAAAGAAATATATATGATAAATATTGGAAATACTACTCATATAAATACTGGCAATATTAGATAGGGATGCTTAAATTAGAAGTCATGAGTAAGTTGCTATTTGACTTATCTAAACTATGTAATAAAAATAAATATATATGATAAATATTCAAGATACTTCTCATCTTAAAACTGGCAATATTAGATAGAGATGTTTATAAGTTCAAATTAAAAGTCTTGAGTAAGTTTCTATTTTACTTATTTAAACTATGTAATAAAAAGAAATATATATGATAAATATTCGAGATACTACTCATCTTAAAACTGGCAATATTAGATAGAGATGTTTATAAGTTCAAATTAAAAGTCTTGAGTAAGTTTCTATTTTACTTATTTAAACTATGTAATAAAAATAAATATATATGATATATATTCAAAATACTCCTCATCTAAAAACTGGCAATATTAGATAGAGATGTTTATAAGTTCAAATTACAGGGTTGTCCAAAAAATGGAACATTTGTTAATTGAACACAAAACCTTTATTTTTCCTCTAAATTGCACCAAAATTTCACTGAAGTTCAGTCACTTATCTCTCTGATATAAAGTTTATAGGTGCAAACCACAAATTTAATGCATTAAACTTGTCAATGTTTGATACGACCCCCTTTTCTTAAATATACACTTGTCAATTTCGCAGCGAACTACTTTTTCAAGTATTCTTTATTTCAAAGCTTTAATGAACATGTTGATTGCTATACACATTTTATAAAATCATATTTATTCGACATGAGGTATTAACATCTATGGTTTACTGGAAAACTACACTGTTGCTCATAAATATGGAATATTTTATAGATACAAACTGTTCGATGGAATTTCTACAAAATGATAACATTTTGATGAAAATTTGTAATGTGTTCTCATTCCCTCATCAGTTTTGCATATAAAACTGATTGGTATGAAAAGTTAAAACATGTATGGTTGATTAAACTTGTATTCACTCAGGTGACCCCATGACCTCATGATATTGGTAACTTGAAAGAGGTGTCCAAATCTTACTTGTAATCATTGTGCACATTTTATAAAATTTTAATTTAGAGTTGGAAGAGTTTTTCGAAGGCATGCCCAACAGAATAAGCTAAAAAGAACATGGCAGGTCACAGGGATGGCGCTCTCTGGCATGAAACAAACTGCCATTGCCAGGACCCTAGGGGTGCATCAGGAACAGCCTTTACAATTTTGCAGTGGTACCAAAGGCATTGGGATATGACTCCAGGTCACATCAATAGTGGCCCTAGATAGAAAAATGTAAGAAAAGACCACCGCCTACTGCATTTATGTCATCAAAATCGCTTATTAGTCAACCAGTAGTCTACGGGGTGAATGGCTGCCCCACCTCAAAACCTGTGTTCCAGAGCTATAGACAACCAGTGATTTCTTTATAACGGATGCAAGGCCATGAAATCTTTAGAGAGACCACAGCTGACTGATCATAACAAAGAAAGGTGCCTTCAATGGGCAGGAAAGCACCAAAACATTGTACCTAATTTTTGGTGTCATATGACAGCATGTGAAGAAATAAGATATGTCCTCCACAAAGTTGATAATTGTGTTAGTTTCTGTCGTAGACCAGGGGAATGAGACAATAAGGACACTTATTGATGTAGCAGTCCATGAAGGCAACCCTATTTATGTTAGGAGCAGCATATACAGAGGTTGTTTGGAGCAGTACTCCAGAAATTGCATCCCCTTGGTGATTCCCAAACATAATTTCAGAGTAATTTGACCTTTTGGACCTCCATCAAGTACCACATGCAAACAGAGTGTTTTGGGGCAACATTCAACTGCAGAATGATCATGCTGATGATATGCTAGTTGCATCGTGTTGGATTACATCAGGGCAGACAATGTAGACCAGCTACCATGGGCATAAAAGTCGGGCAATCAGGCTAAAGCAGAACAAACGTGGGATGACCTTGGTAATGAGATTCGTGACTTGGACGCCCACCTCAAAATTTAGACATGTTACGCACTGCCCGGATTGAGAAATGGGGCCTTATTTCACTTAAAAAGGTCAGATGCTTCATTCCATGCTGGTCCTGTAAGGTTTATGCTCTGATTGCAACACAAAGAATACACAACACATATTAGTGCTTTAATTGGATAGAGAACACTTCAATCTTCATGACCAGATGTTTATTTTGTTTGATCTGTTTTACATGATGATTTGGATCGGGGTGTTTTGAAAATGCAAAAATTCTTAGCGTACCCCTGTTTAAATAACAGTAATTTTCTAAATCTAAGTGTGAATATTTTTTCTCTAAAAAATGTTGATTTGTAGATGAAATATGTGGTTATGATTTGCCAAGAAAATAAATGTCTGAACCAACTCCAAATAAATGTTCTCTTACTCCAAACTTTGAACTCTGAGGTGCCAAATCTAATATTCCATATTTATGAGCAACAGTGTATTGTGTTATTGTCAACTTGAGAATACCCCAAATCATTATTTTTATTTAAGAGTAGGATAAAAGAACATGTCAGAGGTGAGTGATTGCACAACCCATACAGCTACTAAACTGACAAAGTCATCGTTTCCACTTTTCAGTAGAGGGGAAACTGACTAGTTATTATCCCATCGAACGAAGTTCGGAGGGATATAGGGAACGCCTCCGTCCGTCCGTCCGTCCGTACGTCCGTCCGTACGTACGTCCATCCGTCCGGGCAATAACTCAAATACCGTTGGCCCAATTTTGTTCATATTTTGTACATATATACCCTATGGGGGTAGAAGTTCTGCTCGAAAGCCGATTTTCAAAATGGCCACTCATTTCAAAATGGCGGCCATTTTAGTGCCGAATTTACAGTAATTTAGGTGCAATATGTAAAACTGTAATAGCAATATGTTTTAGATGTAAAAAAACTATAGGACATTAATAAAGCTAGAAATTTAGATATTTAAGAAGCACATGGCAGCCATCTTGAAAAATGGCGGTCTTTATTCATTATTTTACGATTTTTGCTGTAACTCGAGAAGTAGTGGAGCGATTTTGTTCATATTTGGTATGTGAATACTATAAACATTGCACACTGTCTTAAGACACTTTTGGTAGAAGGCGGTCATTTTTCAAAATGGCCGCCATTTTAACGTATTTTACTATTACTCGAAAAGTAGAGGAGCGATTTTGTTTATATTTGGTATGTGAATACTATAAGCACGGCACACTGTCTAATGGCACTTTTGATAGAAGGTGGCCATTTTGAAAAATGGCCGCCATTTTAACGTATTTTACTATAACTTGAAAAGTAGTGGAGCGATTTTGTTCATATTTGGTATGTGAATACCATAAGCATGGCACATGGTCTAATGACACTTTTGGTAGAAGGCGGCCATTTTGAAAAATGGCTGCCATTTTTGCTATATCCTTTGTTTGTAAAAATGCCCTCCATGGCTGTTCGATGGGATTCGCTACGCTTTGGCGTTGCCGTTGTTCTGGTTATTTACAAGGCTTTATTAAAAACACCTCTAAGCACACATAATATAATATATCATTTGTGTTCTGGGAAACTCCTTTATGATATTGATATACATGTATTGATATATTCAATTAATATTATTCATATCAGAAGAAGTAATAGGGGAGGGGGTTCATTTACCAGTCAAAACAGACTGCTCTGGCCTCTTTCGCGAGAATATTCAATCAGTAATATATCCAACAATAGCAATCAAAACATGCTTGATACCCATCAATTTGGGTAAAAAAATGTTGAATATGTTCGTATATTTGATCTTCCAAGGCAAAAATATAAGTAGTTTGTTCAAGCTTAACTTTTAATCAAGATGGCCTGGACAAAATCAAACGAACAGCAAAGTGAATGGATCATTTCAAAACTGAGTTCCAGGCTTCAACTTATAATTCAGGAGAAAAGGGGTCATATCAAACATTCTCTTCTTTAATGCATTAACTTTGTTGTTTGCACCTATTAACTTTACATCAGATAAATAAGTGATTGGACAATACTCAGTAAAATTTTGGTGCATTTTAGAGAAAAAATAAATATTTTGAGTTCAATTTATCAAATGTTCCAATTTTTTTGGACCACCCTGTCGAAGCCTTGAGTAAGTTTCTATTTTACTTATTTAAACTATGTAATAAAAAGAAATATCTATGATAAATATTCGAATACTACTCATCTAAATACTGGCAATATTAGATAGGGATGCTTAAATTAGAAGCCATGAGTAAGTTGCTATTTGACTTATTTAAACTATGTAATAAAAAGAAGTACATATGATAAATATTCGAGATACTACTCATCTTAAAACTGGCATTATAAGATAGAGATGTTTATAAATTCAAATTAAAAGCGTTGAGTAAGTTTCTATTTTACTTATTTAAACTATGTAATAAAAAGAAATATATATGATAAATATTCGAGGTACAACTCATCTTAAAACTGGCAATATTAGATAGAGATGTTTATTGTTTATTAGTTCAAATTAGAAGACGTGAGTAAGTTTCTATTTTACTTATTTAAACTATGTAATAAAAATAAATATATATGATAAATATTCGAGGTACAACTCATCTTAAAACTGGCAATATTAGATAGAGATGTTTATTAGTTCAAATTAGAAGACGTGAGTAAGTTTCTATTTGCCTTAAATCGAATTGTGCAATATGAGGCTATATAATGGTTCATTCTGTATATCGTGTTTATACTAGAGTGAGTATATAATATATTCACAAGTGAGCGTAGCAATATACTGGCAATATTAGATAGAGATGTTTATAAGTTCAAATTAAAAGCCTCGAGTAAGTTTCTATTTGACTTATTTAAACTATGTAATGATACTTGATTTATTTGACTTATTTAAACTATGTTATAACAAGACATATCTATGAAAAATATTCGAAATGCTACTCATCTAGCCTATTATCCAAGATTATATTTTAAGTGGCATTTCTATACAAACTAAATTACTGTGCGAGGAAGATGTTTAATATTAATAATAAACATGGCTACATAAAGTATCATG